TAAAATTAATATAGTATATGATGCAGGAAATTGAAATCATTTTAATCTCTATAATTTCCATTATATTTTATATATTATAATGTGTTATTTGTCTATAATTACAATTCGGTTAATTTATAATATAATTGATATAACTGTATAATGTATTATATTGGTAATTTTGATAATATAATATTATAATTTATAACTACAACTGAAAAAAAAACAATTTCCATTGCGTAACTAGTGTGATAATGTATATAATAGATTTCAGACATTTAATGTAATGTGTTATTTTATTTTTGTGTAAATGCCATAATCTTAGTTCGTTTAATTATTATACTGTTAGATTTTCGAATTCAGGGAAAAAGTCATGAGTTATTCTGTGTCGGGAAATATGACGTAAATATAATCACCTACTGTTTGAAAATGATTGAAAAAAATGTCTACAGAAATGTCTCAAAAACAAAACGTCCAAGACCCGACGGAATTGTTTTTTTTTTTTTTACTGAAATTATTGTAATAATATTTTCAAACTACAATATCATTATTATTTTACAACATTTCGTTATTAAACGCACCGTTTTAACGTCGGCGTCGCGACGTTCCTCCCCCACCCACGGACGACCAAACACTCACACACACAAGCGCACATCCCCTTCCGACCGGCGTCGGCGGCGGACATTGCCGTACCCCGCAACCCGCCGGCCSCGCGTAATGTGGGTGGAGAGAGATTCTGTGCGGCGCGCAGTTGCCCCGGTCCGCGTACAGGTGTCGCCGCGGTCGACTCGGGTTTTTCGTACTCCGCTCCCGGACTCGTCGCATGTGAGATTCATGTGGTTCGCCCGCGACTATTAACCACACGACACCGAGTTCGACGCGCTCTCCTCGCCCGGATGTGCTAATAATAATAACACAATAATAATAATAATAGTAATAGCAGTGATGATAGTAATAAAAGTACGCGATATAATATTGTAATCGATTCGCAAGAACCGTTCGTGTTTGTTCTATATTATAATAATAATATAATATAGGTACCATACAAGATCACAATATTATTGTGGCGTAATTATCACAATATTACTTACATATTATATTGTATTATTTTTTTATCGCCGTTCGCCGTGCACGCGTGTAGTCGCATCGCGAGAAAACTGCAATACTTTTATTTGTTTTTACTGATTTTTACTTTTTGTTCGGTTTTTTCATTAAATTTTTTTTTTCGTTTTTATTTCGTCTGCCGCGCCGGAACTCGAATTCGACGACATTGCCGCACGGTTTTAAATATTATTTACCCATACGTTTGACTTTTATGTTTTTTCTTTCGTTTCGTTAATTTATCTTTCGCGTAATTTTATTGTATTTCAAATATACTAGTGAAGTGCGTTTCTTGTGAAAGATAATCAAATAATTTTAATTTTTTTTTTAAATTTCAACCATTTTCGAATATCGTTGTTATCTTATATGTTTGACAATTTTTTCCTGTCGTCKATAGTCCTAGGATCGCCTAGGACCTTGTATTAAATTTTAGTGCGAAATATGGAAGCTACTTATTGCATTGGAAACGACGTTGACGTATGCCGAATGTTCGATCAATATTTATACAAGGTAATTACAATATTTTATTAGTCCCCCACTGAAAAATAGAATAAAATATTTATTAACATTGAATGTCGTATCTACAAATTTAGATAATTTAAAAAATAATATAACTATTGTGATGGTTCAAATTTCAAATCTAATAATTATTATTGAAACGAATTGAAAAAACCAACTAATGCTTAATAATATGTTTTTTAAAATAAATAATAATTGTAATTATTCAACGTCTTTGTAGATTGGGTAGAAATATAAGAATGTAAATTATGACTAGCTAAAACCGGTTATGTTAGTATTTTTTTATTCTTTATTTTTAATGATTAATACTATATCTATATAGTTAAATTAAACAGAAAAGGTTCGTTAAAATAATAATCGATTTCATATTATTACAACTCAAATCAATTGGGGAGATCGGTATATACCTATGTATATAAAAAAAATAATAAAACGAGAAAATAATACTGCGGTCGAGAAATCGTTGGTAACAACGATTAATGAATTAACCACCGGTGCCCGAGTCGGGTCAACCAACCATGACCTTGGTTGGCCTTGAACCTAGCAGCCAGCATCTTCAAACACAGTACCTATACGATCACTTAGGAATTCCACATTTCCAATATGGATACAATCCGATAATATTAAATAGTACAGTAAGAGTAAAAACAAAACGAAAATCAGTCGATCGGTTTCGTTCCCATATTTATTGTAAAATACACCATCACGTGATATATACTGTATCAGTCGTGCAAAACGTTTAACAGTTACAAAAAAAAAAAAAAAATTATAATTTGACCGAATCGCCGAAAATTTGCCCTTAACGCAATGCATGCAGACATGTCATAATGTAATATGACTGATTCGCGTGCCGTAATGGTCGTACAGTTAAAATTAAATTAACATCCGTTTTACGAATTAACTGGCCAAACTGAATATAGTATATGGGTAACGTAATATTAAGTACCGCTACGTATCGTATTATTGTAGTCAACGACCGATTTCTGACCACTTCTCGCGCCGACCATAATGTAATAATATTATTATAGCTCAAGTCGATTAGATTTTGTGCGATTTCGTCGAGATCCGAGGGCACACGTGCCCCGTGCGCCGATATATAAAAKTCCGGTCCGGCATTTACAGGTGGGTGCTCTAYAGTTACTCAGTCCCGAAAAATTCAACAGAAATGAAAACGCATACGTCGGTTGTCGTGGCGTAGAWATATTCTCTTCCCGATTTTCTCATGACGGGACGACGACAGTCGACAAGTATAATATATAGGTAGGTAAACTGAAAACCGGCTCCATTAACCACACACTCGCTGACGAACACATGTTGTAAACAATCGTTCGATTTCTTCTCTTTGCTTTGTCAGCCACACACGCAGACAACTGGCGCAACAAAAAGTAAAAAAAAAAAATATGTACAAGCATTCTAGAAACGAAGATTATAACATTTATTTTTTTATTTTTCAAACTCAATCCCTCTCACTCTTTCTCGTTATTTTCTATTGTATGCTAATACTCGTTTTATATATTATTATATATTAGATATATTTATATGTGTATACAATTTATACTAAGGCAACACGATAAGAGACTTAAAATAAAGATTCAGAATAATTTATTAGATTGCTATTGTGCTTCCACCAGTACTTTATTACCCGGGGACTTATTGAAAAAAAGAGTCAAGTGTAAGCACACGTCATGACCTTTTTCCTGTCCCCCCTTACTCTCCCTGTTTTTTAATGTACATTTTTTATTGCCAGCCGGGGTTTTTCTGATTTAATGGTAATAAAAAGTGTTCTATCCATGAATACTAATTGGTTCATTACGCTCCGATTTAAATTCATTTTATTTTCTTGATATGTTTAGATGCGTATCTAATAAATCGAAACGCAATATTTTTTCCTGTTCATCTACTTATTAAAATAAAAGCGTTGATAAGAACAATACGTTTACTAAACGTATTTAATTATATTCTAAATATAACATTCCATATCTGTATCGTGATATCAATAATTTTAGTTTGACTTGGTTCTATAATGTATATTAAAASAAACGTCATTATTCTAAAAATAAAATGTAATCTCGAGTGGATTTTTTCGGTAGGTATGTGAACACCTATGAATATTTGAATTATGTGATGAAATAATTTGCTGACCTAAAATAAAAATAATTTTAAATAATTTGAGTGGTAAACGTCAGAATATCTAAAATCTAAATATTATAATATTAGGTAATTACTAATTACTAACGTATGTGCAGGCAAATGAAACGTGGTTAATGATAATATATTATATTTATTATGAATTGAGCATTAATGAATAAATAATTATATCTTGATTAAATATACGAAGTGAAACAAAATCAAAAATCTTCAATAAACAACAGTTAAGTTACTTATGTTTTCATGCGGGTTTTATGAACCCAAAGTTTCGTTTTGCGAGTAACATAACAATATGACGTACATATTAGTCTTAAAATAGTTTTATACTATTGTACCTAGCTAAATAGATAAATAACTATTATACCGTTATAATATAAAAAGCTATCACCCTCGATTAATTCGTATGTGTAAATGACCACACGCCTAATATTATAACTGTTTACTTATTTATAATTAAAAAAATAATAATTATAACATTAATTAATTTATAATAATATATATATACCAATATACCTATATAAGTATATAACACACATTATTGAGAACAATTATTATAGAGCCAATATCCATAAGAGTCCGACCTCTTTCCGTGTGTGGTTATCTGGCTTATAGATTTTTAAAACACTTCACTGGATGACCTCAATGTTTCTACAATACCACTACACGTAACATTCTTAAGTTTTATTGATTTTAAATGTATATTTTTAAATTCAATAAATCACTCGATTCCAGATTTTGTTTGTTCGTAATCGCTTGCTATTATAAAGAATGGGCCCTATTGATAACAATTAAGTGTGTTAATGATGGGCCATAAAAAATGTAAAATAGGTTAGATTTATTAATGTGAATTTCGAATCATTGTCGCGTTTTTAAATCAGGATGTCTTGAAAGAGAACAAAAAACTATAATCCCATCGCTGCAGCTGCGCAGCAGTCCATTACAGTGTACCTTGGTATTACACATAAATTAAATACCAGTTCAATTCGTGTTTTCATTAAATAAAACGCCCATAGAAAATACCATTGTTTTTATTCAGAAAATAGTTAACTATATAATTTGAGTTATACTTAACCTTGACAGTTATACGATAATTACATAATGTTTAAAATGTTAATTAGAAAAACCACGTTAGTTGAGTCACAAAATTATACAACATTAGGTAAATCATTAAAACATTACATTAATATCTATACAAATTGTTAATACATTTATCATTTAAATTAAAAGTCATTAAACAAATTTTAGTTGTGCATTTATAAATTCTCAGCTGTTTTAGGTAAATAATTACTTACGCGTTCTTTTAGTTCTTCGAGGAATGTCATAGAAGGATATTCCTTTTTTTTTAATGACATAATTTGTTTTTCAAACTTGATCGGTCTGTTAATTTGTGTTGTTTTGACGTTATTGGAAATTTGATTTTTTGACATAGCCTTAGAAATCTTTGAATCTACTTGCCCTATTGCCATGTCTTCAAAATTATTTTGGAGCTGTGAAAACTTAGTTTTGGATAGTTCCGTATTATTATCTCGGTCCATACTATGGCTAATGAACACTTCCCTGTCCTGTTGAACCAAATTTTCTTTTTTTTGGACGTAGATGACTACTGCACGTTCCAAACCGGGCAATTGGTACTCGCGGATTTTCACTAATTTTACTTCTTGATATTCATCTGAAATAAAATKATGACATATTTACTCGCGGTTGTTTTTGATTTAATTGAACTATATAATCGTAAAAGACATCGTTGAAGACATTTTGAATGATACTGAGAATATTATGTAAAACTGGTGGGAAACTATTATTTCTGCGGGAAATAGAAACATGTCTGCAGATACTATATAGTGTATCCAATCACGTAATTGACAGGTTTTCATCACATGAATGTGAAAAATTGTGTGTGGTGTTCTAGTGATGATAAAAAACTAAATTTTAAAGTGGATCTCTTTTAGACATAAATATAAAATATACGTGTATTATACATAAATATTATAATTACCGCAACTGCTAAAATTGTCCATTTTGTTTTTTCATACACTATGTGATGAAACGACAGAAACATCAAAATAATATTGAAAAAAATTAATTTATCAACTGTAAGAAAAAGTCGAATTATTTTCATCGAAAAAAATATAATATAATAATCTGATTTTATCAGACGAGAAGGATGCAATTTTACCAAGGACGTTGATCTAAAGACGATACCGGTCATCGGTGTAATATTCCAAAGACGTTCATAAATAAAAAAATGCGGGAATTATAACTGCTAGACATCGAATAATTATTATAGAGTAACAAGGGAAAGTTCGATAACAATATAACCTAAAATGCATATTATTAAATTAAAAAAAAAAAATTATACTGTTATAAAGCAATATTATCAAATAAATTCGAAATGGTCAGTAGTCAATATGGAATAGACAGTAATTATATTTTAATGATTATGATAAGTACTATATGTGTAATTATAACAAGTCCGCTATGGAAAAGTTGAAAGGKAAATAATAATAATAACAATAATTCGAATATTATTATGATGCTGTAAAACAAAGTGTTTTGTAATCGTTACGAAACTCGAAAATAAAGAAGTATGTTATTCATAAATATTTATTCATCGTGCTTAGCTCCCTCGCAAAAATAAAAAATAAAATTGCATTTTTCTTACAATATTGGAATATAATACGTTATTATTTTCATTGAGTGGTATGTGGGCGGAGGGGGAGATAGAATATGATGAGATATTTTCTTTTAACTGAACGCGTCGTATAATAATAAAACGTCACATATAGAAATCAAATAAGAAGAGAACAATATGTTATACTACTACTTGTGCTGCGGGAAATAAGAAAAAATAAGTTACACACAATTTCTAAATAAATGCTCATTTCTCCATACAAAATATCATATTATTTAATATCATACGAATTCGATTTTGAGTGTCTCTTCAATGGGTAATGGAAAAATGATGAACTCTTGAGTCGAAGATGATGAATTCTAAAATGTACATGRAAAATGCATTATGCATTTTGATATTTTAAATAATATTCCATCATACTTACAATTTACTTCCGTCTTCTTCATTCCGACATATACTCAAACCGTTTAGACTTGGCTGTTCAAACATTTATGCAAGAGATGCATGAATATAATATAATATTTATAACATATAGATACTCAATAAGCAGATTTTGTTCATACGTGTACAGTTTAAGTAACTGCTTTCTGCAGAAACAATATTTACAGTTTCAAAATATTTTTCAAAAATAATTTATAACATATAATATAAGTGGATACTTATGTATGCAATCTGTATCTAAAAATTTCAAAGATTGATCATTTTTTACAATGACACCTATTATAATAAATTATCAGCAAAACTTTTCAATTGGTCCAGTAATAGTKACATTCGGTGTACCTAATTATTAATTGATTGAATCAATTGTGCAACTAATTTACTCTTACATATAATTTTCTTCATAAAACCAGATTATCGACAGAGCTGCATAGTAATTAATAATGGTTTTTAAATATCRAGAACGTTCAGCCACTGSAGTCCATTCGAATTTAAACAGAGTAAAAATAAACAACGATTTTACGTCATTGCGGTTTCACGTAACGCAAACGCAACCGATCAATTGTAAGAAAGAAGGAAAAAACATAACAGGCACACTGAGGACGGAGTGATTATTTTGTTTTATATTTTAACTAATATCTCCTCGACAAGAATAAATTACTGAAATTTATTACAATAATTAAATAATCTGGAAAACATAGGTATATATACATCGGAACAGGTCCGTTCGTACGCCTGTTTAAAGGTTATTGTAAATTATGACACATGATAATTCTTTCGACGATCGTTTCCTCTACCCGCCCACCCATCACCCACCAGCCATCAGTCAACCCCGCCACCGGCTCGTTCACCCCAGAGAAATAATTTTGTTTTCTCTCCACTTTTTTTTATCCTGTTTTGTTTTAATAGCACTATAAATCTTCGGACGAAATTATAGGAACGCACCAAATGAGAGGAATACACAATACAACATACGCCCACTTCAGAAACAATGACAACAATGCCAAAGCCTATTGTGCGTGTTCCCTCTGTAGTCACTACCCTTTTGGTTCATTCTTCTAAAATACGTTCGATTTATGGCAATGCTTTTGTGCGTTTATTCGGTAACCGTGCTGTACACGCGCAATGTTAATATGCACTCTGATCGAACTTGAAACCGTTCAGGACTTAAATTAAGTGGCAACCTATAAAATGTAATATGGTAGCTTTGAGTTGTTAGACTGTGTGATTTTTTTGTTTAACGTCTCAATCGCGGACCGACAATAACTTCAATGTGTAAATAAATGATGTAATATGGGTCATAGCGTTATATCGTTTATGATCTAATTACGGGTAACATAAATTATCATCTGATCAACGCTATATACGTATTCGGATTACGCGATGTATCATCAAATACAATGGAATAACAATGTGTTTAATTACAAAAAAAAAAGTAAGCTAAAGTCTGAATATCTTATCAACGCATGGCATAGTGTTTTTCAATAATTAATTTTGTTCACATTAAACGCATTGTTGTCATTGATTAAAATGTTAAAAACATGGAATATATCGTAAATCATTATAATATACTGATGCAGTGTTCTTCAAACGTATTTTTGAATTAATTAAATGACTAACACAAGTTTAATTTCATTCTGTTTGTTGGTATTAAATTCAATGAATATTGTTAAAAATTATTCGAATAAAAGTTTTATTTAAAAAATATATTCACTAATTATGAATCCGTTTTCTTATTAAATATAATGTTTATTTATGAACTTCATTATAAATGGAAAATTATTTGTTGAATATATAAAATAYATTTTTATTATTGTATTAAGCTGCAACGGATTGTTAGAACCCCTTTTATATAAAAGTTTCAAACCATAGAAATAGTAGGTATTGAAACGGTTTGAATAAATTAAAAACAAAAAAATCAATACCGTCTCATAAAATAAACAAGCTGCAGTATACTTTGAATGTTATTAAAATTTTACCATAATCCCTGTAGTTTATTATGGAAATAACTTGAACTAAAATAATTTTTATTCCGTGTATATTAAARCTTGTTTATTTTCTAACGTTAATAAACATTTTATATATTTTTAATTTTGTATACAAATATAATAGCATTTCGAGTACTTACCAGCTACCTGGTTTTTAAATCACTAATTGGTCACACAAAATAATTCAATTACAACAATTTCAATAATTTAATCTATAGTGTTATACTTTAGGTGCAGTAAATTTTCAAATTAAAACGTCAAAGTAATTATATTATTATCAATTATTATTAATATATTACGAAGTAATTACCAAACAAGAGACCACGCCACAGTGTGCATCGAAAATAGATTATAGAGCCGGTAATAATAGACAATAGGAAATAAGAGTATTATTTACCAAAGAGGAATATTGTTGAGAACCCGGTTGAGAATGTTTTTTAGCACTACTTTAAAGCTCGTGTCAAACGAGTRTGTGAGAAGACGAGGGGAGAGACATGTATAATACTGACGTTATAAAACTTTATTTTTATTCTCCTTATCCGCCAGACAAGAAGTTCGCCAAAGTCGATATTTGCACGGCAATAATTCTCGAAAAACGCATGTGGGTTAGGTGGTGCAGGCGTACGGGCAGAGGGTGTTTGGCCAGGGTGATGGTGAGAAGTGGCAGAGGAGGTAGAAAAAATATAAAGTTTTAAAACATAAAAGACCCTTTCCATTCTAAATAATATATTATATGATTATATAATATGTGTTATTTTTTCTTTCTTTTATATTTATTTTTGTAATAAACAGCATTCCTGTCGCATGGTCCATTAAGGAAGTAATAATTTTTGTTCCAAACACGAAAAAACAACACAAATTACAATTTAATTGATATTTATTGGCATAATAATGATGGAACACAAATAGGAACAATGTAACAATGGCGTTATTGCATTAACTAAGTGGACATTTCTAAATGTCTTCTCAGGGTTGTTTCAATTAGACACACCGAACCTATGTGCGTATATACACTTTGTATTATATTCGTACGATGAGTGTGTTGTATAAAATGTCGTTTATACGCAGTCGGCCGACCAAAACTGTACGGAACTCGCCGAGGAGTGCAGTACAATAATAGCACAATATGATCTTGGCCGGCGCGTACTCGCACAATTATCTACAAATAATAATAATATAATACACATCGAACCTGTATGCTATTTATCCCCCGTCGAGTCCGGCTAAATAACCGTTGGTCGTCGACGGGTGTCCCGTGATTTCGAAACGTTCCGAAACAACTGTGCCTACAGTAATGTAGTTGGTAGGTAGGTACATATACGATAAAAATTTGTTGAACTAAAAGGGCCGTGAGAACGACGTTTTTCCCTCCGTAAAGGACAAAATACGTATATAACGATATTATTGTTAAATGTTTAGAAATCTATACGTACGTACGTTTACGCATTGTACGCACTATTTATATGCCTCTACAATCCCTTATTCATTTACTTGCGGTTTTTATTTCCATGTAATATGTCATGAAAAACTCTTCATAAGACAGTCGACGGACTCGTTGTATATCCGTAACGATTAAATACATCATACATATCATAATTGTATTGTAATATT